AGGTCTGTTGAAAAATTACATGTGTTTTATTCCTCTTTATGGAAATTGGGGGTAAAAACAGAAGTTAAAAGCTTGGAACTTGGAATCAGACAGTCTGGGATAACATCTAGAGTTGTTATGATCAATTAGTTATATTAAAAGCAGATGAGATAAACCCAAAAGTAAAATTCCTAGTTCTTTAGGCCTTTCTGAACTCAAACTTTTCCCTTACCTTCATCTAATGTTTTTCATATATATATATATATGTAAAAAAAATTTTCTGGGCACTTGCCTCATCAGTACATAAATACATTCAGATGCCCATAAACTAGGACGACCATAAGAGACCAAATGAAACCCTTTGATTCAACTGCTACAGTCCACCGTTGGGATATTTTGGCTATAGAGCTCTAGGAAATAGTACTAGGGGGAAGTAATTGACAGAAAACTAATGAAGAATAATAGTGTCAGCATTTCCTTTTACCCCCCAGGCAGGATGGGGGAGGGCACGACTTCTAGGCCTGCCTATTAATCTATTTGGTCTTTTCATCTTTGGGCATGGAAAACCTCCTTCTTGATCTAAGATTGGCCACCCAAATCTGCTCCATGCCATTCATTAATTTGATCTCCTCAAATACAGCTGCAATCCATTTTCATTGAATTTTTCTTCCTTTGCTGCATTTGTTAGAATTAGACTCTATGTCCTTGAGTCAGGAATCTTTTTATTCCATACCTTTCTTTTGGGTGGTCATGTGTTAATATCTGAATATAAAACACCTAACTTTATTTGTAGAATTGGTTTTTCAGGCTTAAATAGCTAAAGTAAATGTGGAAGGGGGAGAAACGGTGTGTGCCGACGACACAGGACTTGACATCTGGTGAGCTGATTTCGCTTTCAATGATCCTGCAACGGAATCAGGCTCCTATTGAGCAGATGAGGCTCGGAAAGAGAAAGTAGCCCAGCTGGAATTGAAACCAAACTTTGGCTGATGTCAAAAATCTCATGCTCTTTCCCTATCTTTCCCTCAAGTTTGTATTGGAAACAACTGAGATTCGAATGCAGCTGATTCAGGTCCTTAACTCCTTCACAGTTCCTGAACTCAGATTTTATGGTTTGAACACCATAAAAATCAAGCTCAGTGGTAAGGCAAGTGCAAATTTATTAAATATCTGCTATAGATAAATTAATTTTAAAATAAGGGGGAAATATTTTGACAAGTGATTAAGACCCCAAGATTAAATATTAGTTTGGCATGAATTTTCTAAATTAGGTTGTATCATAGAGCCCAGGTTCTCAAGCTTTCTAGATTCATGGCACCCTAAGGCCAAAAGAAACAGCTACCTGTTCTGCTTGAAGTAGGCAGGCCCCAACAACCTAATACATATGTATGTCCTTGTATCTTACAAAAAGTGAAAAAGTAATACATGTAAATGGAAAGAAAATATTTTTATTTTGTTCTAAAGTTACCGTCATTACTCAGTAATGGAAAGTATAATCCGCTGGGCGGGGCTCAGCTCTCAGGCCTCGGCATCTGGTCACCTTCTTGTCTTGTTCCACATTGATTTTCACTTGATACCTGCTTTTTATCAAAGCAACTGCCGAAAATCTGCTTGCAACCATAGGGGTCATCGAAAAAAGGTAGCTAATGTTGAAATTTTGAACTATTTTGAGCTGGTAGTAAAGTTCGCATGAATCTAACAGATGTGGTCGTGCTGCCCTTGACATTTTAAGATATGGATGGTGTTCTTGTGACCGCACTGCAGCACCGGGGGCCTCGGGGGTGGGGGTGGGGCTCTGGGGCAGGACGGGGGGGGGGGGACCTTAGGGGCCGGGGCTCAGGCTCGGGGGCCGGGGGATCCTCTGGGGCTGGGGGCCTCGGGGGCCAGGCGATCTTAAGGATCACTTTTTCCCCTTCCTTTCTTTCTAGTTTGTTTTATAATTATAAAACCCCTTGAAGCTTCATTTATAACCCAAATTCTCTCTCCATGACATAATATACACTGAAATTTCAACCAGGAATGAAGTCAGTAGAGAAGCATATGTTTTGATTGAACAACATATGGAAATCTGATGTTTATAGACACATTTTCCCAGCAACAAAGCAAAGTTTTTAGCAAAGAATTCTTTACATTCTCCTACTGACGATCTCAGACTTGATGTCAAGAAGACAGAAAGAAAAAGGGAGGGAGGAAAGGAGAAACCTGACGAATAAATCTTTATTAAGTGCGTCAAGTACGAGCACATGCTTGGAGCAGGACAACATGGAGGGAAGGACTGGGCTGCCTAGGACCCGGGCGTCCTCATGGTCCATTCTAGACACAGATCTGTTGGCACAGGTCAAGTTTAGGTGGAAGATGGGGGACAAGAAAGCAGGAAGCGTATACAGCCTAGAGCATGTGCTCTAGAGTTTGGCCGTGTTCAAGTCCTGCCTCTGTAACTTAGTAGCTCTGGGTCCCTTGGAAGTTACTTAACCTTGTGAAATTTAGATTTTTTCCCCCACTAAAATGGGAAATAATAATACTTATCCCAAAGTTGTTTTGGGGGGGACCAATTAACATTTGTGCATATCATAATAACTGGCACATTTAAGGGCTAGACAGTTTTCAGTATTATTATTATTAAAGTAGGGCTGACCCACAGATGGGAGACAGCAGAGGTCAGGCCTGCCAAAGAATGTCAAGGGTACGGAGAGAAGAACTAGTGGGGAAATGGTAGAGTTCATGTCCATACATGGATTGCATCCAGAACTCTCTGCTGGTGGGAATGTAAACTGGTACAACCCATTAAGACAACCACTTGACAGTATTTACTAAAGCCGAGCATATGCAGATGATCCAACTCAGCAATTTGACCTCTAGATATATGCTCAGCACACAAATGCGTATATGTGTACCAAAACATGTTTATAGCAGCATTGTTCATAGTAGCCAGACAATTGGAAACAACTCACCTGTAGAATGGTTAAATACAATGTGGTATGTCCATATAATAGAATGTGTGCTGAGTATATATTCGGCATGAGGGTGAATGCACTACATACGAGAAACTGGATGCTACTCAGAAGAATGCTGGGCAGGGGCAGACATAATTGTGCATGCGTATGATGCCATTTATATAAAGTTCACAAATAGGCAAACCATCTACGATGTTAGAAATACGGACAGTAACCTTTTGGGACGCAGAATTTAATGTCTGGAAAGGTGCACGGGGAGTTTACTGGGGCTGGCCACAATGTGTGTTCACTTTTTGAAAATCCAGCAAGCTATCCTTCTATGACTTATGTCCACTTTCATCTGCAGGCTTTCTGCTAATAGGGATTTTTAGCTTTAGGAAAAAAATTGGCCTAAGTATTGAAGAAATCTTGCTGCAGATTGAATGTTTATGGCCCCCTCCCCCAGTTCATATGGCGAAACCCAATCCCCAATATGATGGGGGGAGGCGGGGCCTTCAGGAGGTGATGAGGTCATGTGGGTGGAGCCCTCATGAATGGAATTAGTCCCTTTCTAAGAAGAGACCCAGAGAGCTCCCGAGCCCCTTCCACCATCTGTGGACACAATGAACCAAGTCTGCTGGTGCCTCGAGCTCGGGCTTTCCAGCCTCCAGAACTGTGAGAAATAAGTTATCTACTGTTTATAAGCCGCCCAGGCTGTGGCGTTGTAACAGCACATCGCTTTGTAAGCTTCCTTTCTAGCACAGAGGGCCACGTTAAAAACAAAATAAGCTTTACAAAAGGGTTTCTGTATTAAGGGAAAGCGTGAGAAGACAATATGAGACACAGCAGCTATGCTTACGAACTGCAGGGCAGTTGTCCTATGGTGACTGACGGCGTCCATCAGGGCAAACTCCATCAGGGTAACTCGGGTCTCGGTGGTGTCGCACAGCAAAGCTCCCTCTCGCTGGACTCGGCCAGCACACGCTGACCGGCTCTGCTCCTGGCGCTCACTCGGGACCCAGGCTGAGGGGGGCTTCACCCTGGCACGTGGTCCACAGTTATACCCCGGCGGAGGGAGGAGCACATGGCAGGCTGTATGTGGGCTCGGAACACGTCTGCCCCTGAGAGACATGACCCTTCCACCCCCACTGCACTGGCTGCTGCAGGACTCGCGGGCGGGCCGAGCGCCAGGGGCCGGGACACGAGCCGTTGCGCTGGGGCAGGAAGGACAGCTGGGCAGCGACAGGCTCTCCTGCCAGCCTCACGTGCTCTCAGGCTCCAGACTCGGTGGCATGTAGAGCCCTGTCCACGACAGAACTGCTGCCACACCCGCCGCACCCTCGCCCCTCCCTCCCTCCCTCCCTCCGACGGCAGGTCACGGATTCCCGGACCACTGCCACTCCTCCCCACGCAGCACCAACGTGGCCACTGATCTATGTGTGGCCGACCGCAGGGCAGCGGCTAATGCTGTTCTGGACCAACGAGCAGAGTGGGGCTGCAGGGTCCGAAGGGTCAGGGCAGAGTGGGGAGGATCCTGCGTGGCTGCAACCACCCGAGGATGCGCACGGTCAGTGGCCGGGGCAGCGGGACGGCTGGACAGCTGGGTGTGTCCTCCTCGCACAGGAAAAGGAAACGGAGTCAGGAGAGTGGAGACGAAGGCGGAGAGCTAGAGGGAGGGTACAGACAAGCGGGAGAGGAAGGGAGTGGGGAAAGAATGAGACTGGAGAAAAAGAAAAAACCTTTGTGTCCAGTTAGAGGTACAGAGCTTTCCTTGTGTCCTATGCAGCGAGACTCTGTGCTCTGTGTAGCGTGTCACTTCGGCTGGGTTTTTGTTAAACACTACCTCACCGGAATCCCCTCGGTGTATCAGCTAAGACAGGGCCGCATCCATCCCAGGAAGGCCGTGCCCGCGGGCTCCTCCTCCCCAAGACGCCCCACCCCCTTCCTGCGGAGCAGCGGGGATCCGGGGTATGGTCCTCCGCAGGCCTCTGGACCGGGCACCGGCAAACCTTTGTTTCTTAAATGTGACTCCCTCTTAGACTCACATCCGTTTTGGGAGAAATGCGCCAACTCACCAATTGATGACATAATTAAATTTTAATGTGGATTCCTTATGAGACACATAAAAGACTGAAACATTTTGAGATAAAAGGAAGAACTGAACGAGGGTGTGGTTAGTTTAAAGCCGAAAAACGACCAATGGCAACCACAGGGCACCTGATTTTCCCTGTGCAGATACAATCCAAATAACTTCTTTAAATTCTGATGATCGGTTTATTAGAGCAATTCCTTTCATTGTGAAAGAAGCCACTGTTTAGTAAAGGCCAACAATGCCACGGAGAAATACACCTTTGATACACTAGATCCAAATTGTCTGAAAAGGGGCACCGTGCGCTTCACACAAACGCAGTTTCTGCAAGGACGCGGCGCTAGGGAACCGGGCGCTTCCTGACCTTCGCCCGGCAGCCGAGTCCTTCCCTGGCCACGCCCCGCGCGTTCCAAAGGACACAAGGTCCAAAATAGGTTTTGATATAAACTTTTCAGGAACACATCTGCTGTGGAAAATAAGATGTCCGTAGCATTGGGACTCCAAATAAAGCATAAAGAAGGAGATGCATTTAAAAAATTTTTTTAAAAATTGAAAAGTCTTCCCAAATAAGGAAGAGGTGACCAGACCTACTCCGCTGTACATTCAGTTCTGACTTGAAGATTCAGGATTTAAAGAAGATGCAACCACTTGCATTTCTTGCTAAAAATAAACTAAAGGGAGCTTAATTTAAGAGATGTGCTGTGGCAGGTGTTACTAGGCTCAGCTCAAACCAGCAGTGGGCCCAAGTCCACGTGAGGTAGGGTGAGCCTCACCTCCAAGTGGGGCCAGGGCAGCAAGGAGGTCGGCATAAACGACGGCCCTTTGAGAACTGATGTGGTCGCTTTCCTGTTCATTGAAGATTTTAATTAGGAATTTATTCTTCTTCACAGATGCTTCCTTTAGGTGTATTTAATTATAGACCTTGACAAAAAAAGCCAGAAGCAGAGCGAGGAGAGCCAGGCCTGCAGGCACCAGCAGTGGCCGGGCGGCTCTGGAGCTCGGGCCGCCTGGGTGAGCGGCAGAGGTGAGGGGGGCTGAGCTCGGGGGGCTCCCGCGCCTGCTGCGGAATTCCTAGGGGAGAGAAACAAATGAAAACAATCATTTTAAAATGCAAAGAAAGTCCTATTGCAATATCAATCAAGTAATGAGTCCCTAGAAGAAACTTTTTAAATTGAGATAGAATTGCATATAACATTGTATTGGTTTCAGGTGTACAACAGAATGATTCGATGTTTGCGTATGCTGTGAATGACCACCACAGTAAGACTACATAATATCCATAACCACAGTTATCACCTTATTTTTCCTGTGATGGGAAGTTTTGGTGCTTATTATCTTTTTGAGTTAGTGTATCTGTTTCCTCTGGACATATTCCTACAAGTGGAACAGCTGGATCTATAGTTCTATTTTCAGTTTGTAAGGAACTTCCACGCGGTTTTCCATAGTGGCTGCAGACTGACATTCCTCCAGCAGCGCACAAGGGTTCCCTGACCCACGTCCTTGCCAACACTTGTTATGTCTTGTCTTTACAATGTCATTCTAACAGGTGGCAGTTGCTATCTCACTGTGGTTTTGAGGTGCATTTCCCTGAGGACGAGGCTGCTCAGCACCATTTTATGTACCTGCTGGCCATCTATATGTCTTCTTTGGGAAAATGTCTACTCAGAGCCTCTGTTCACTTTTTAATTAGACAGTTTTTTGTTATTGAGTTGTATGAGTTCTGTCTATATTTTGGATATTAACCCCTTATCAGATATCAGATATATGAGTTGCGAATATTGTCTCCCATTCAACAGGCCGCCTCTCATGTTGTTGGCTTCCTTTGCTGTGCAGAAGCCTTTTAGTTCAGTGTGAGAAGGAGTCACACCTTACTCCTCCAACACAGGACATCCAAACACCCAGTGTGGACCAGATGGCCCCAAGTCAGGTATGCATCACAGTTCCTTTCCTTGAATAAGTTTCCAGATTATACACAATACATATGAGAGAGACAAAGAGTGCTCATGGAAAATCAAGGCAGAATTCATGAAGGGTACAATTTACATCAAGCAGAGTCATATCACAAATGTATCCTACTTTTAGGAATATGAGCATATCTTATGAGGGGGGTAAGAGAGGAGGGAGAGGGAGAGAAAAAGAGAGAGAAAGAGAGAGAGAGAGACTGAATGAACCATGGAAGAAGCCATATAATTCAGCAAAATTCAGAAACACATTCCTAATGAGAGATTCCCAGCGGGGCACTGTTGCAGGAGGGCTGCCCCCCCAGGGGGCCCTGATGGGTGGGGGTGGGGGTCTGGGTGGCTCGAAGCATCCACCCCCACAGGCAGCATCTCCATTACCATAGTGCCATGTAACTCATTCCCCGTGTGGAGCATGAGAAGCCAGGGGCCTCGCCTTCACCACTTCTTAGCTAGTCTCTGTTCCCGGTGCTTCTGAGCGGTGAGGGAGGAGCGGACGGGGAGCCGGGCCACTCAGGGTGGTTCTGGCATCTCAAAGTGTAATTTTGACTCCACTTATATGTGCACCTTATATACAGGCTTTAGAATCAGCTCCTCCTTGTTGAAACCTGAAGAACATGTTGAGAGATGGGGTGGGGTAGGAAGGGGTACACTGGATGGAAGGAGCAATGTGGGGGGGCGGCAGAGGCAACCCACAGGCATGTCTGTGGAAGCACAAGAAATCCAGAAGCATAAAATGCCTCTAAATGACCATTTTCCTTTGCCCATTCCCCCCTCCGCGCTCTCTCACAGTCTCCTGGTGACACCGGTGACCTGGCCCCGCGTGCAAAGTCGGGGCTGCAGGTCCTGTGCACGTGGAAACATTGGGACTGCATATGGTAGACAGTGCTCCGCAGCAGGCTGAGGGCAGGCGACAGGAGACGGACCGGGACAGAGGCCAGCGGCGAGCTGGGACAGATGAGGTGGGAGATGACGACGACCTGTGTTAGGGGACGGCAGAAGGATGGACAGGGGGACAGCAGACTTCTGATGTAGGAGCAACAGCACCTGAGCTCAGATGAGTGTGCATAACAAGAGGCAGAAAGAATGGAAATGGGGAAATAACCCAATTTCCACCGGCTAATATTTGCATGGAATAGATGTGGAAGGAATTCGTGCTTTGACTGCAGAAGACTGAAAAATTAATACAGTTGTTCATCACAAGGGTGACTCTCTCAGTGTGATGGCAGTCAAGCCAGTCTTTGCTTTGGTGTTCCTCAGGTTTCTGGGCCTCAGGACACCCTGCTGGTGCCCCTGGACTGTGAGCCCCCGGCCAGGGGGCCTGGACAGAGCTGGACAGATGGAGTCGGCTTCCCTGCGACAGGCCCGGAGCTCTGTGTGCCCAAGCCTGCCCTGCCCTGGGAGACCCCCTCCTGCGAGACGGGCTTTCTGCATGACATTTTGGAGACGGAAATATGTTGGCAAGCCTTCATTTCAATTGATTAAAAATAGCCTCATGGGCCCTGGCTGGTGTAGCTCAGTTGAGCATCGTCCTGTGCGCCAAAAGGTCACTGGTTTGATTCCCAGTTAGGGCACACACCCAGGTTGTGGGTTCGATCCCTGTCGGGGTGTGTGTGCAGGAGGCAACCGATGGAGGTCTCTGTCACTTCGATGTTTCTCTCTCTCCCTTACTCGCTCTCTAAAATCAATAAAAACATTTAAAAAATTAGCCTCAAGGTCTCGCAGACAGCACTCACGGATACAGCGACCTTGGGGAGAATGCAGTCCTTCGGCTGACAGGCGAGAAGCTGGTGAGCTCCCCGAGCAGCAAGGCTGCCGACTCCTCCGGGCGCGGAGGCTGCGCAGCTGGTGGCAGGAGGCACTCAGCACGGGTTAGAACGAGTGAGGGAGTAAATGAATGAGTACCAGGGTGTGCATTCCAGATGAGACTTAACCCACCAAAATCACGTCTATCTACATCTCTGGTGATCAAAGTGTCCAGCAATGTATTCAGGGTACTTTTTTTTCTACACATATGTCATGAGTTGCTGCCTCCAGCAATTAAACCCTCACTATTTTTTTTTTTTTTAATCCTCACCCGAGGATATTTTTCCATTTATTTTCAGACAGAGTGGGAGGGAGGGAGAGAAAAAGAAATCAACATGAGAGAGACCTCGGTTGGTTGCCTCTCACACGACCCCGACCAGGGCTGGGGACCAACCTGCAACCGAGGTGCACGCCCTTGACTCGAATCGAACCAGCGACTCTCTGGTTTGTGGGTCAACCCTCTAACTGCTAAGCCAAACCGGCCAGGGCTAAACCCTTACTTCTTATGTTTGGGTTCGCAAGACCAGAACCAGAAGGCTGATTAATTTCTCCCAAGCCCGAATTTAATGTTTCTGAGTCACACATAGCTTTGAGAAGCGGACGGAGACTACAGATGGTCCCCTGAAGACTGGGAGAGCCACACGCACAGCCCATCACACACCCGCGTGTCCTTCAAGAGGGTCACACACCCTCACCCAGGGGCGGAGCCCGAAGTTTCCTTTTTCAAAAAGAGCCCAGACCGTGCAGCTCAATGGTTGAGCATCGACCCATGCACCAGGAGGTCACGGGTTCCATTCCTGGTCAGGGCACATGCCCAGGTTGTGGGCCCGATCCCCAGTGGGGGGCATGCAGGAGGCAGCCAATTGATGTCCTCTCTCATCGATGTTTCTCTCTCTCCCTTTCTCTCTAAAAATCAATAAAGAAAATAATTTTTTTAAAATATGAAAACATTAGATAGAAGGCTTTGGACAGGGTCCCTCAAAGTGTGAGGGCCTGACACTTCAGCTGTCAGCTTCCGGGAAGACGCCCCTCTGCCCCACCCCCAGATCTGAATGCCAGACCTCAGTTCTGCACCAGCAATTCAAGAAACTACCACGCGAGACCACTGGTTCTGGCCAGGAGTCGGGCTGACGGGCAGGCCTTCGGAGTGGCATGCGGCCTGGGCCTGGGCCACACAGTGCTTCTCAGAGCTGCAGTACAGGAGCCCCGCCCCCGGCCTGGGCCGCAGGGTGCTTCTCAGAGCTGCAGTGCAGGAGCCCCGCCCCCGGCCTGGGCCGCACAGTGCTTCTCAGAGCTGCAGTGCGGGAGCCCCGCCCCCGGTCTGGGCCGCACAGTGCTTCTCAGAGCTGCAGTGCAGTGGCCCCACCCCTGGCCTGGGCCGCACAGTGCTTCTCAGAGCTGCAGTGCAGGGGCCCCGCCCCCGGCCTGGGCCGCGCAGTGCTTCTCAGAGCTGCAGTGCGGGAGCCCCGCCCCCGGCCTGAGCCACACAGTGCTTCTCAGAGCTGCAGTGTAGGGGCCCCGCCCCCGGCCTGGGCCGCACAGTGCTTCTCAGAGCTGCAGTGTAGGGGCCCCGCCCCCGGCCTGGGCCGCACAGTGCTTCTCAGAGCTGCAGTGCAGGGGCCCCGCCCTCAGCTGGAAAGAAACCCCTCCACCTTTGGTGACCATTTCGCAAAATTTCTTCTTTACTCCCAACTCATTTGCCGTAAAATTTTGCTCCAAGTGTAAAAGTTACCTATTAAATTACCACAGTGGATAATCTGTGGTTGTGTTTAACGTAGTCACTCTTCCTTGGGCACTGATATCTTCCCCCCACCCAAACACTGAACACACTGAACAGGCGTCCCGGTGCTGAGCCTCCTGCCCCCGGCCCTGGGGTCCAGGGGGAGTGTGGCAGCAGAGCGGGCAGGGAAAGGCGGCCTCTCTCCCGCTCTGTGCCTCCACAGCTTCGCCTTGTACAACCCAAGATCTCGGTTAAAGAAGTTTCATGGTCTGTTTTAAAATATCAGATTCAAAGAAAAGTTTCTCGGATGACACAGTAATCCAGAGGCAGCTGGCTCTCTACGGCGGTCACTGCCACTGCGACACGGAAGGAAAAGTAACCTAGAAATACAGGGAATACACGGACTTCCTCAAAGTCCCAGACGCTCGAACTCTAAAGGTATGACCAGAGCAGCTTCCCGTGCAGTCAGAAGCAACACCCGTGAATAGAAAATAATGCAGCATTTCCATAATATAAGTAAAAAGTGCTTGCAGGTGAAGTGATGATACATAACCAGCAGTAAAGTTGCACACACGCACACACACGCG